TGCCTAATTTGTCAGGTGTGGGGTTTTACCACAAAATGCCTCAGTATTAGTGAGAGTTCAAGCTTGTTTCCAAGCCCTTCCTGGTGACAAGCCCTTAACTGTCCCCAACTTTATTACATGTCTAATTTGTCAGGTGTGGGGTTTTACCATAAAAGGCCTCAGTATTAGTGAGAGTTCAAGCTTGTTTCCAAGCCCTTCCTGGTGACAAGTCTTTATGCTAAGAGTCCAAGCTTGTTTCCAAGCCTTTCCTGGTGACAAGCCTTAAGCTTGCACGGGCCCGAACGTGGCTTTGATACCATGTTGGATTTTTGGATCGTCGGGCCCGCCCCCACTCTAATGACACCGATATTGTCCCCAACTTTACCACACATCCAATCCGTTAGGTATGGGGTTTTACCACAAAAGATCTCGGTATTAGTTAGAGTAGAGTAATTATATTTAAACCCATTGGGTTTCTTTGAACCCACCGATGTGGAACATTTAACACTTGCAAAGTGATTGATTGTCTTGATGGACACCTTTTGATGTATCTTCTGCTATCACACAAAGTATGTAGGCGTCGTCGGTATAACTAGGTTCCAAGACCGGCGACATCTTCAACTGGATGATCAAAAAAAGCTTGTATTGTATGTACGAGACGGAGAGAGATGGGGAAAAGCTTTTGCTTAATTGTGAGATATATATTGCTGTCAAGTACTTTTCCTTTATATATATATAGTGATGATCATGATGTATCCGTGTACTATTCTGACTAAAATTAGTTTTACACAAGAATTGCGGTTTCTTTTTGCACAAGTAATCATACTATTAGTAGGAGTATTATGATCCTCTTGATTAAAATGTTACTCGACCATCTTTCTGAAAAATAATGGAAAATAAAACTTAAATAATTTTGAATTTAAAATTGTGAAAAGAAAAACCACAACGATGTTGGAGTGGGTGAACTTGGTTAAATCACACAATGAATCATGTATCGAACTTATTATTTATAAAAGTCAAACTTAAGACCTCTTACTAAAACGTAAACCTAAATACCCACCTGTAACCCAATGGACTCAATCCACCTGAATACTTGAACGTTTCCTTTATTTCGTTTTGTCTCTTATGTTATTTAATTAGGCCCATTAAATTTCCTTATTAGCCCGCCTATAGCCCACTTACTTTGGTTACAATGCTTGTCAATCCAGTCTGAAGCCCAAACAATACCAAACAAGCCCTCATCAAGAAAAGTCCAATGGAGGGAGAAAAAGGATGCGTAAATCTTTGCAGACAAGGAATAATCTGGAAATTCTGCATTAGGAGAGATTTTTTATTGTGATTAAAACAGTGGACAGTACGCTACAAGGTATTATACAATTATAAATGACATGTGGCATACTGTTCTGTGTTATGGTCACAATGAATCAACAATGTTGTCCCCTCTCATGAAAACACGTTACGTAACTTATGTTTCTTGTACTTATTTTATATACGCCATAATCATGTGGTCAACTAATTAGTTTTTGGTTTATCTTTTTCAAGTTAGGTGAACCATCTATTTTGGTGTATAGCGACGGCTAACTAATCGTGCTCAATCTGCTTGAACTATATATATATATATATATAACTAACACCCTCTTGCATATACAATAAGGAGAATGCTGTGGACCATATCAAGTTGCCAAACCCTACCTACATGTTGTGTATTAATGGTGGATTGATACAAAAGGATTAAGACCCTTCATACAAATAATTATGTATACAATGTGTGCTCGTGGATAACGATTGATTAACGAAAAATTATTGTATTCGCTATATAATCGGCACACGCAAATACTCACCAATTAGGCGGACTCATTCAAAGGCAAGGGTGGGCACTGACAACTCAGACTCCTAAAATTTCCATACTGGATCAAATTTTTAATCTTCGGTAGCTGGGAAAGGCAGGGTGGCGCGGGGCTGTAGATCACCTTATCTGCTAAAAAGCACCAATCATTTTTGTCTTTTCACCTCCTTTTCAAACTCATTTCACCCAAATTCACACACTTCACTCAATTTTTTTTCAACCCAACTTACTTAATCCCGCGGGTACTATCATCAATAAGACCCGCCTACCAAGATACTTAGCAAGAACACCATGTTAAGCATTTATGTCCACCCAAAGAAACAAATTATGAATCTGCCACTGCTTACTACTAATATGACATTATTGTTAGTATTAACTAGAATCTTATCTTGTATCTTATAACGAGGCAGTTGTAATCTGTCTTTGTTATCCAATTATTTAGTTTTCTTGCCGAAAATTTTGGTTGACTTATGAAATAAAGTTTGTATTATTGTGTGACAATTAAGATTTGGCATTATCGGGTGATTATTTTTGTGCATAGTTTATGAAAATAATTGTATTAATTTAAAGTATTTCCTAATCCGACAACCAACATTTGAAAAGTACACTTATACCTAATATCTAAGATGATCAAAGTTGCTAGCTGGTCTCCTAAAGCGTTTACAAACGTGTGAAACTTTGATGAGCAGAATCCTAGAAAACTTGCACGAATATACATGGTTGCATACACTTATATGTTCGTCTCTCTTTTTACATGGTACATTTACATTACATGAAAAAATGGCAGATTACGTTTGTAACATGTAAATATTTATGTGAAATAATGAACATAAAGCCGTGTAAAAACACAATTAGTCTTATAAATACTAGGGCTCGTTTGAAAATAATATAAAATAACTAAAAGTGTTTTTAATAAAAAGATTTATGGAACTAATCTTTAGTAAAATTGTAATTAAATCCTTTAAAATGAACTTCAAGTGCTTTTTGCAAAAAGCACAACTGATTTTAAAATATTATGGAATCAATTCTTAGTAAAAATGTAACCCAATCAACTGATATTTTTTGCAGAAAGTACTTTAATGTTTTGAAACCTAAAAACATTATCTTTAAAAAAAAATTAATGATTTTAAAAACACTTTTAAGCGAATCATTTCAATTTAAAATTTTGTTTTGAATCCCTTGTTTTCTGCTAAATTTAACCCAATTAACAATTAGCTAGTAGTAAAGCAAATGAAAATTTTCTTTTTCTTGAACCAGCTTTTGACCTTAAAAGAAAGGCCAAATCGGATAAATGGTCCCTGTGGTTTTAAGGTATTCGGAAGATAACCCCTGTGGTAAAAAAATTCTGATTTAAAACCCTGTGGTATAGTTTGTTAGCAAATTTAGTCCAAGGTGACTTTTCTGTTAAGTGTCCGTTAAATGGATTGGTAAAATTGTACTTTTACTTCCGTATTTTGGATCCCCTGCTAATCTCTCTCTTCTCCCTCTCTCCCCTTTTGCTTTCGTGTTATGGACTCTATCACCACCCCCTTTCCTCTCATCTCCTTTGGCCTCACCAATTCATTCTTCTCAGTTTCCTATTGATTTCTTCACTGCCCATGCCTCTCGATTCATAATGGCCATAGTTCTTTAGTATTTATTTCAAAATTTCAAGTAATCTCTAATCTATTCATCCCCAAAATCATGATTTTTAGATGAAAAAATTCACAAATTTTTATTTTTCCCAACACTGGATTCTGGGTTCTTCTCTATTTCTGAAAATTTGCATATATGCCATCTAAATTCTGTTCCCAACCTTTTGTGAAAATTTTGGTGTTTGAATTTTTGGGTTTCTCTCAAAAATGGTGACTGCGAATCTGGGAATGCTCCACTGTGTTTTGGACCATGTTATGGTGCATTCATGCACAGAACAAAGTTGAGCCATCAATTTTTTTCAAGAGGGTGGCGCGGCACAAAGCTTGAGCTGCTTGAGAGGATGATAAAGCAGCTTTTCCCAGAAGCAGCTGATCAAAATTGGCTTCCTGCTGTGATCCAACCCACATGGAATGGTGGTTCAAAAACCTCAATTGGTGAAAGGAGATGGCTACGGGTTTGGGCAGAGAGAGTGGAAGAATGAGTAGCTTCCATAGCTTCTATTTAAGATGGGGAATCGAATCGACCGATTGGGAAGATGAAGTTGTCACGTTGGTTCTATTTTTGGTTCAGCAGGTTGCAGAGATAGAAGAAAGAAAGGAAGATGAAGATGGAAAAGAGAGAAAGAGAAGGGTGGCACTTGCTACTAACGGAGTAACAAACAGAAGTTTCAATGTGGGGCATAAATCCTAACAGGTTTCACCACAAGGGTTTAAATCCGAATTTTTAAACCATAGGGGCTATCTTCCGAATACCTTATGACCACGGAGACCATTTGTCCGATTTGGCCTAAAAGAAAAATCAAAACTGGATACGTGTAAGTAGGACCTGCTCGTTCCAGAAATTGCAACCATCTTCATGATTACAGCGATGACAAAAGTTGAAAAAGTGATGTCATTTCCACTCCTCAGATGCTTCAACCTATGCTTGTATTTCTGGGACGAGGTCAATGCAGGTTGACCTAAATCTAACCGCTAGGTTATTTGCGAGAAGCTTCCGTTTGAGGGTTTTTACATCGGTGTATGAGATGCACCGATATTTGAACGGCCAAAAATGTCAAAATACAACCATGTAGACCTAGTTATGTGATACATCATTGCATTACATAGAGTCGTCTTCAAGCCCTAGTTTTTCCGCTCAATGTGCTTTTTTATGCACATTACCATAACGTGAATTGTTGTCCGATGAATGTTATATGATTTGTACACCACTTAAATCTCAAAACGTAAACTCATCCATGTAGGGGGAATGCTCGAAAGATCGTGAGCTAAATGCACTCTTTCAACCAACTAGTAACAAAATCGAAAACACAACCAACGACTAATGATCTATAAAAATTAGTGAAAGTTACTTGATCATAGCCACAATAGCATCACCAATACATGTGTTATAATATGAGTAGACGAATACAATATTTATCATAATTCCACGTATTATAACATGAGGATCAGTATACCACGTGCCTACGTTCTGTATCCGAAGATAATCCCTCGTTTATTTGAAAGACTTTGCGAGCGAAATGTACTGTATTTTGATCCCAAAATCACTCAAAAAGCTTTACATTATTACAGAAATAGTATGTATGGCCTTTGAAAACCATCCAAAACTAAAACAATGAATGAGAAAGAATTCAAAGAAAGTTAAAGAGAACCCCACATTACACCAGGAAGTAGTCTAGAAGAGACGTTACGCAGTGTTTGGATACATGGAAAATGACAAGGAAAATGCAAGGCCAGATGCTTTTAGTTACAAACCTGTTTAAATTTAAGAGGGTATTTCCTGCCTAAATCAGCTAAAAATGTTATTACCAAACACTAATTAATGAAACAAACCAACTTAGAAATTACACCGAAAGCCAATCACCACCCATATATGTAAATATTGAAAAAAGTCACCTTAAATACATCATCACACAGACCTAATCAGGATCATCAGTTACCCGCATAGGCTGCAGTTTCTTCACTGTAACAAATCTACGTTCTTGCTCAGCTCCTCCAGCTTCTTCATCCTCAACTTCTCACTTTCGGTCACCAGCTGCATCAAATGTAACGCGACAACAAAACAATCTCAAAACGTTGAAATTATACAAACAACACTATGTATGCTTTTAGTAAATCGAAATATAAGAACATTATAACTAGTATCGGTTGCAAGAATTTGGACGGGCTGAGCTCCTAAACCAAATTTTAAGATTGGTGATCTGTCAAAGCAGGCTCAACTCAGCTGTGCTCACTCTAACTCCGAACTGGTGAGACGGGGTTCAAGTTCAACCCGTCCAAGAGCTACAACCCTAGCCACGACAAGTAAAAACAGTTTATCAAACTAACCTCCATTAGCTTTGTGATAAGCTGCACTTTTTCCCTGTTCTTTTCATTGAAAGCCTCGAGTGCATCTCTGTATTCCTTTTCCTGTGACAAGTTACGAACCCAAAATTCATCACGAACACGCACCAATCCACGCACAATTGCATATGCATAGCAGTAAATATTAACACCAAAATGTGGTTATTATAAAATCCAAGATGTGTTACCTTCTTCTGGCAGGTATGTCCCAGTGGCTTTAACTCTTTGTTAATCGAATCGATCTTCTTACGAACTTGTGAAACTTCCTTCCTCATCGGATCTGCAAGCCCTTCAAGCTCCTGGAAGTTCCATAATTTAAGACAAAAGGGAAATTAAAGAGTTGTAACAAATTTGCAGAAACTTTTTGCTACAACTTCTCCATTAAACATCTACTAATTGCTAGCAACCGATTCAACGGCTATATTTCCAGTTGAACCAACAGAATATGAAGCAGATGGGATACAGATATTTTCAACAAGACATCCTTCGACTTATATTGTTGTCGCAAACATAAACAAATGACTAAATAAAACCTGACTATTTGACAAATTTGAGGGTTTTGAGTAAGAACAGAATTGGTAAAAAAAATGGAATTACTTCCATCAAAGTGTTCATAGCCACATTAAATTCACACCCTTGTAAATACATAAACCCAAAATCCAAAAAAAAAATTAAGCTGAAAAAACCCCAATTTAATGTAATTTCCTGTTCTGGAGATCTAGTTTTTTCCACCAACTTTTGTCACCCAGAATTTTCAGAAAGTTAAATTCCCTTAAAACCCCACAAATTTCTTTTGCATAAAATCATTTTTAACCCTTTAATTTAGCCTAAAAATACCCAAAAAATAGGTAAAAAAATCTTGGTTTAATTAGCAAAAACCTTGTTTTTTGGGATTTTAAAAGCACAAACCTCACGAATAGTGGCCAAACGCTTGGTCTCCTCTTCAACCCGACCCAACTGAGCCTGAACCTTCTCTCTGACCTCCATCTTCTTCCTCTCGATCTCCTCCTCTTTGGCTCTGAAAGTGGAAAGCGCCGACCTTGACATCTCCTCGTCCTCCTTCGACATGTTGCTGTTGAAGCTGAGGCTTCCGGCGGAGTTCTGCACCACCAGCTGCTGCTGCTGCGGCTGAGCCGCCGACTGAGACTGCTCCGTCTGCATCATCTTCTCTTCAACCTCCTCTACTTCCTCTTCACAAAATCAAAAACCAGCCCTTTTCGTGAAATTCTCTATATTTTCTTATCTCTTTCTCTTTTGCTTTTGCTTTTGGAATGATGGGGTTTTAAAATTTGTGGTGGAAGTGCTCTGTTTTTTTTTTTTTTCCTGCTCTGTTTTTTTGCAGAGTTTATGAATGGCTGAGGCTGGCGTTAAAGGGTTTCAAGGCGTCAAGCCAGCTGCTAATTGTGTTCTTTATATAAAGTTATAAACCAACAAAAAATAAGAATAAAAGATTAAAGAAAAATAGTAATTAAAATAATAATCTAAACTATTTAACACAAAACTCTCCTTGTCAATAAAAAATAATAAAAATATCAAATTAATCCTGTCTACAAAGCTAAAAAATAATCAAAATAAAATTTATGAAAAATATAGTAAGGGTGATGTTGTTCACAAACCTTTTTACTTCTCATGCATCATTTTCAATTTTCATCCATCGAATAAAATGAATTGAAAAAAATCAATGACAAAAAATTAATAAGAGTGTATAAAATGTAAAAATTAGTGTGTGAATGACACTATTCTATAATAAATTAAACATAAAATTATTTTTCTATTTTTTTTCCAAGCATCACAAGCTACCTAATTGTATCAGTTGCCTCAATTTCTTTTCTATGTTTCTTTCTCAAATAAAATAAACTTTTAACGAAAAAATAATTATTCAAAAATAATCGTTAAAATATGAATAACTTCTTTAGCGACATAAATTCATTTAAAAGTCATCACTTGTCACAAAAGAGTTGAAGTAACATTTTATATATTGTTTCCTGTATAAATTTTATTTTTAAATTTTTTATACATCCATAATATGTGTACAATTATTAATAAAGATTAAAAAAGAAAAAGAGAATGAAAAAATTAGAAAAAAATAGGGGGAAAATGCTTTTAGTTGAAATGACCCAAAACCGCCAACCACTGATAAAGACGGGGTGTGTATGTGGAATTGTTGCTTTACTGAAAGAAATGGGGTGTTGGCTGAAATATTTTAAAAAAAATTAACTTGTCTCTCTGTACCCGTTTGTGTAAGCCCCCACAGCCAACCCACCAGCCCTGAACCCCCCCTTGGAATTTCAAAATTTTGTCTACTAGTATTTCTCCACACTTATAAGCAAGAAGTTTTATATTCGATTATCGTCAATGACGAATTTAAATCATATTATTACTAGTACATGATGAAGCTTAACCCACTTCCTCATCATTTTAGCATAGATAATCTCATTGATTATAAAAAAAAGATTTTTCTTTACCTTACTCACATGTTGTAGTAATTTCTACTAGAAGTACAAATTGTCCCGTCTCTTAGACTCTTACACTATGATATTTTCTTATGTTGTAGTTTTCTACATTAATAAAGATTCTAGAGTTGTGGATATTATATCTGAGGTGTAGACATTCTCTGATTATTTGTATCACAAAACGAATAATATGTAATTATTTGATTGTCTGTATTTTTATTTCTGCTTTATCTAAGAAATGGTTATGAACTTACGAGTTGCTCCGGTGAATGCAGCATTTGATATTTTTGCTTTATCTAAGAAATGGTTATGAATGCTGAATGCAGCATTTAATTGTCTGTATTTTTATTTCTGCTTTATCTAAGAAATGGTTATGAACTTACGAGTACTGAATTGCTCTGGTGAATGGAGCATTCGTCTTCAAAGCTCTATGCCCGGGGTTAAAATCCTCCCCTCCCCCTCACTGTCTCTTGTAGTAATGTCCTTGCGATAAAAAATGAAAATATACTATGTTCTGACCGTTCAAACTTGAAATGCATTATAATAGCTATGTTATATACACTCTTAATGTAAAAGTCTGGTGTTGTTAGCATCTTCGTGACATAAAACAAAGTGATTCACGTAAACATTGTCTTTGTAAAGTTTCTTAATATCTCAGATGTGGAATTCACACTCAAACGATTTATTGTTGTCCATCATTGTACACGTAATTGTCTAAGATGGATGAGCACATATTTTAAGTTGTACCAATGTCTATGGAGCTAAAACCTAACCCCATATAACGCATGTAAGGTCTCTATCGTTGTCTCAAATTCATGTGCAAGGCCAAAAACGCTTGTATCCAAAAAGTATAGCCATGGGAGTACAAATACAAGTTTCATGCTTTTATTTACAATTTTCTTATACTTATTTGTATCAAAAAATTATTTATGCACATCATTTTTCTCTTTTTGTATGTTTATGGAGCTAAAACCTAACCCCATATAACGCATGTAAGGTCTCTATCGTTGTCTCAAATTCATGTGCAAGGCCAAAAACGCTTGTATCCAAAAGTATAGCCATGGGAGTACAAAATACAAGTTTCATGCCTTTTATTTACAATTTTCTTATACTTATTTGTATCAGAAAATTATTTATGTACATCATTTTTCTCTTTCTGTACATCACTGTTTATTTTTGTTGATTAATTCTTCTTTATTTTGTTCGATCGAAAAATCCAAAATAAATCAAAACGTGCATATCACTTCGTATGAAACATAGCAAGATGAAGTTGTTACTTTCCAATCGATGTTGCAAATGTTGGTAGACGGACAACCTCAACCTAACCTTTTAGGGTTAACTCATTCACATGGGGTACATGGAAGGCGCATAATGCGTTGGTAAAGAGAGAACATCATCATACGTGCATGCGTTTGTGTGTCAAAATATATTTAGGTTGGTCATTCTATTTCCATTGACCATCTTTTTTGGCAACTTCAAGCTAACCATTCATCCTTCATTGCAACAGCAATCCATATAGCTTAATTAGTTGGTTATGAGCGTTCACATGCAAACTCAAGATTCAATACTTTTAATATGTCGAGCGTTTCTTTACTTTTCAGAAGAGTGACGTTATTTGTACCATATATATGTTAAATGTGGTCACTAATACCCCAAATGCTAAACTAATCAAATTTACGAGAAGATGACAGACACTCTGTCTTAACTAAGTGGCTTAACCTACGTTTGCAGAGAGACAAGACTTGTTAAACTAAAGAAACCATTTTATATACTATTGAGAAGCAAATCTCAACAACAAAGAGTGGATACATATATAAGAATTCCAAAAGTGGTGAGAGAAGTAAATTGGGAATTTAAGCCCGTCCCTTTCCCTTTCCCTTGAGGACAGCCAGAGCCAGGGTGCTTAAGACTAAAGTTTGGTGTGGAGTGGACAGAAAGGGTCACCTGCAAACACACACACACTGACTGCAACCAATAAAAAAACCAGCGAGGCTGACAGAGAGGCGTATGAGCCAAGGCAAAAGTTTGGACAACGAAGCCACATTGACGGCAGCTTCCCTACCCCCTCCTTTTGACAATCTCACCTCCTTTCCGTTGTGGGATATGGCCCCTCAAACCCAAGAATCTCCCCCCTTTTTTCCCCTTTTCTTTTTCTTTTAATTCAATAAATAAACCTTTGTTCTTTTTCCTTTGGGTTATGTAGTCTCGCTATAGCTAGGCGAGTTTAATGTTCTAGTTACAGGCGATATGAGTTCTTAAGTGTGATTTCTTTACAGATATGTCGTGTTATGTCGATTCGTGGCTAATCTGTACGTACGGTTATTGTCATATTAGTACTGTATCGAAAATTTAATCTATGGTTGGTTGCGTGTTATTCTTTCCGGATTATGTTAGCTCTTTTGTTGAGATTGGTCACCGAAAAAATATTTGGTCATATTTAGTTTTCTAACTCTTATTTTACTTTGTATGATTGAGTCAAGACGTCCTTTAAATATTCCAAAATGACCTAATCTATTGCTAATGGATTTTCTCCTTTATTTTTCTGCTTTCCTTTTTCTCTCTTTGTGGAGGGGACCGACAAACTCACTAATTCAACATTTGACAATTTCAAAACCCTAGAAACTAATCTCATTACAAAAAAACATGATATCTGAGTTCAACGGTCGAGATCATTAGACTGAATCCATGATGGGGCTGTGGAATCTCATTGGTAGGGTCCCAATCCAAATGGGTGGGTGATCAGTGCACCCATTAGCTTACCAAGCATGCCTAGTTGTCGAATTCTTAATCATGATTAGTGTTTGATTAATCAAATATTAAGAAAAAGATGGTCACTTTTACCAAATGCCAGCATAAACAAGCTTTATTAAGCATTTTCAATGATTTGGGTGTCTGAGTTTTTCATATTTTTGCAGAGCGGCTGTTATGTTTTGTTGGTTTTCTCAAACCATAAAATGTTGCAGTATTTTACAACATTTAGTTGTTTGTCTTGTGTTTCTGTCACTAATCTGAGAATCTTCTGTTGGGTTGGCAGTTATTTGCCAACTGTTTCTTTTTTAATCAGGCTGTGACAATTGGCACCGTCAGTTAAATTGGTTCTTAATTTAGACAAAGAGGTATTAAGTATTTGTTAATTTTTTTCCTATTATGTTTGGCTTTTGGTTTCTTGTAGCTTTTTATGGGGTTGATTGGCGGTTCAGTTTGGAATCTTGGCTTAAAGAAATTAAGAAGGCACATAGCGGAAAACTTCGGTAGGACAGCGAGTTTCTTTTTTGGCTCCATTCATTCTCACGAATACGCACTTTATGTAATTTGATTAATTTGACTTCGTTTGTAATAACACGATAGCTTCTTATTGGATGGATGATGAAAGTCTGATTATGTGACACTCTAAGAGAGAATGCCTCATTTGACGGTTGGACCAATTTGTATAAGTTGACCAAACATTTGACGCTATTTTTGGTGTGGAAATATTCAAAATTCTTCCATTCTCTCTAGAAGAAGAAGACCAAGTCCATACTCCGTTATTCTCTAAAGTGACATTTGGTCAAGTGGAATGGATGTTAGAATAGAAGAAGAAGCATTCATCTTATTCTAATTTTGCTAAGATATCCTACATGACTTTAATACTTGGGCATCGACTATGATGTGTGACCAAGAATCTCGAGTCCCACAGTTGGATTATGATATCAACCTCAAGACCTCGAATCAAATCTCCAGAAATCGAACTCTAGAATTTAAAAAGTTGAACCTCAAGCACGACAATGCATCTGAACACTAGGGTTTTAGTCTGAGATTTTAGTCTCAGACTAAAACCCTAAACCGTACTTTTGGCTACTCATTAGAGGGATCAAACACCAAACTATCATAATCCTAACACAGTAACTAACCTTCCCTCATAACTTGAGCTAACCTTAAATGATAATGGTACCGTTTT